GTGTTAAATTCATCCATCACCCTCGAAGTAGTTCCCCTGGGAGTGAACACAACGATCCCAGCGCCGCTGCGAAGCCTGGAAGCATCCCTGGAAATCTTTCTTTGTCAGCCTGTCAAGCACCATCTGCGATTCTGCCTGAATCTCTTCTATCGTCTCAAATCTCCTTTCCTTTAGCTGAATTTTCATCTTTGGGAAGAGGAAGAAGTCACACGGAGCTTAGAAAGGAAGTTGGGGTCGGTTCTTGCAAGATCTTTGAGCTCCTGACAAACGAGAAGTCGATTCTGCTTCTGGTCCTCAGACAGGATGCGTCGCATGTGGAGTTCTTCCTTTAGAATCAGCTGACAGGTCCCATAGCCTATCCCAACAATGTCGCACAAGTCGTTGATGGTACGACGTCGCTCTTCGTGAATGGCCTGCCGAATCTTGGTAACATTTTCGGGCGTTGTGCTCGAAGATGGTCGTCCAGAACTCTCGTCATCATCGACAGAGGTTCGGCCGGCCCTTTTTAAAACGTGAATGCCACACAAAAGTTTGTGCTTGACCCATTGCGGACTCCCCAAATGCTTGCTTTAGCATTTCATAGGTTTCCGTAGCGGTTTTGGCGAGTCTTTGGCAAAATTTGATGCACACGCCATTCCGCAATCGCAGGAGGGTCGGTGTAATGCACTACCAAAACGCCCGTAACTAAGAAACAAATGCTAATTCGATGATGCCGGCTGGCACACTGATTCACTATGAATGTAGGCCGCACCCCCTAGCGGCAGAAGCTCGTACTACATCCGGTTCGCCCTCTATTGACACAGTCTTGAAACTTTCCGATCGCACCTCGTAGAATCACAATGATTTAGTATGTGTACTGATCCAAGAAAGAAAATGATAAAGAATTTAGTGTTGAACTTATCCTTATCTTTGTGTTGCCAGGTTAACCGTGAAGAACAAGTTGATTACATAGTGCAGAGTGGTAAAGAGTCGAGATACTTCTCTTATGGACAAAGTGCACAGGTTAGTTTGTGTGTGGTCTAAATAAAAGCAATTGTAGATATTCGGAATATTATCTGTAAAAAAATATGTTTACAAGTAAACTATAATTGACAGGTTTTTCCGAGACTGTGAACTAACTAACTATAATTACAGATGTCTGCAGAGCACTGCATGTAATAAATAAATAAATAAATATTGTATTTAACACATTAAACGAAAATGCTTGAAATATAATCATTTTTTTAAGATGGGCCAAACGATCTCCTATTTACTTATTTATTTGTTGTATAAAGCGAAGTTTTCGCAGCGACTGAAGTTGATGAAAGACTCTCGGGTTACTAATTCTTGACTAACTGAGCATAATATTAGCATCTCAAGGAATAATTTGTTAATGTTGAATATATGATATCCTTAGAACAGTGTTTATATTTGTCCGATAGGTTAACAGACAGTTTTAGTGGGTTAATACTTTTTGTTTTTATAAATATTATGTTTCATTTTAATTGAAATAGAGATAGTACACTTCAACCTTCATGTATTACTTCTGACAGAATTATGGTGCGAATTCCAAATTATTTATTGCTAACTTTTTGTAGGTATTGTAATTCAAGAAAAGGGCATAATCGTAATTTCAATTTTAAGACGACCTTATTCGTAATTAATCTTTAACAGGACACATACTTCTTTAATTTATATAAATATGGTGTTCGTGTTAAGCTGATATAAAAAAAAGCATACACAGTTTTGTATGGTTGTATAAAAATGTCTCTGAATTTATCGCTGTGATGATGCAGGCAGCAACAACCCTTGTATTATTCGTAAACCACCAGACTGCATGGCGCTACAACTCAGAGGACAGCCATCTTTGTCCTCACTGTCATGAGAACTTCAAATCCTACTTAGTTTAAAGTTTATTGTATTGATAAATAGAATTTAAACCCCCAATAATTGGGACTGCCGGTTGGGGCAAGATAAATTGTGTCTGTGGGGTCAATGGTTTAACAGTAGCCTACGCCACTGCAATGCGTGGCCAGCCGGACCTTGCTTAATCCATAACGTGCCCAATGAAGGTTAAATTTATAAGTTGTTTAGTGGCTCCCCTCAAATAACATTGTATGGCTTCTTCTCTTTCTCCTCCTCCTCCTCTCCTCCTCCTCCTCCTCCTCTCCTCCTCCTCCTCTTCCTCCTCCTCCTCTTCCTCCTCCTCCTCCTCCTCCTCCTCCTCCTCCTAGTTTCTTGTTCTGTGTACTCTTTTAACCTAGCACCATTGAGTCATCAATGCCCTCCGCTTCCATATCCTGCCTTCTGTTCCTACTTTCTCCACTTCCTTACCTTCTGCTTATTATCTTCCGTCTGTGCAGTAGAGTTTTCTTTGAACCCTGACCTCGTCTGCGTGAAGGTTTCGTAAATTCTTATTAAGATGCGGCAAATCTTGGATGAAGTGTCAGACCGTTGTATCGCAAGGCCTGTTTAATCAATTCAGCAGTTTGTTGTCTTTTTATTCACCCTATGTGGGTCTTAGCTTGTTCGACGAGTTTTTTCCATTCTGTCCTATCATTCACAATTCTTCTCCATCCCCTCACTCCCATCGTCCTCACATCCTCCTCCACGTCGTCTATCCATCGTTTCCGTGGCCTCCCTCTCATCCTTCTTCCATTCCATCACTCTTCTAGTTACCCTGTTTCCCTCCATTTTTGCACCATGGCCAACCTAACCTAACCTTTTGCTTTTGATCAGCCTCACGATATCTGCTCCCTGTATGATACAATCTAGTTCATGATTCATCCTAATTCTCCAGGAGCCATCACCATTCTGTATTGGACCATAGATTTTCCGTAATATTTTACGTTCAAATATTCTAAGTTGTTGCTCGTCAACATTGTATGGCACTTCTTTGATAAAACTTCTTCTTCCCTTTTCCTTCCATATTTTACTATACAGCATTATATCAGGGTAGCAAACTTTTGAATGGCAGTTACGTAATGATAACCATACAACAAATATGAATTGACCCTGGAATCGCAGCGGAAGATTTAGGGCAGAACCCAAGGAATAAGTTTTGCCATAAATGTGAAATACATCATTAATCAAGGGGAGGCCTGAATAATAAATTAACAGACCTCTATGAATTTGTATTGGTGCGCTTTAATAGGTTGGGTAATTTTTATTTGTTTTTATTTTTATTAGTATGAATATCGAAAACTGTGGAGTCTGCGTGCCACGCTGGCAGAGAGTGAACATTTGTCTGAGCAAAGAGTCAACAACAAAGAAACAGTTACCTTGACTCCAGGAAGAGTCAAACACAGTCAGTCGTCTGTTGAGATATATCCCGGTAAGTACTTTTTAACTTGCATTCATGTAGTAAATTATAATCGATAAATATATTCTAAAAGAAAAGTGTTATGTGATAAACTCACTCCAGAGTCCTTCATCTTCTTCTTCTATGGCTCTCCGGTCCGTATTCGGTCCATGGCCTCCTCAATTCTCCTCTTCCATTTTGTCCTCTGTTAGGTCTGTCTGTCCGAGGCTTTGATTGAGGTTTCGAAACATCTTCCTTTTCACGGTGCAAGGTTGTTAGCTTTGCGACGAACCCCCAACTTGGAGGACCAGGGTACCTGTCTTAGTCTGACCTCTCCCCCTCGACAAATCTGGCTAGGGAGGTCCTACCAGTAGCTATGCTACCGCCAGCGTAGCTCTTCGGAACTCCAGAGTCCTAGAGAAGTTAATTGTCACTTGGCCAGTCAAGAAATTACCCACCATTTATGGAACTTGAATGTTCGCAAGAGCCAACCACTGATTCCTATCAAAGCCAGATGAATGTTTCACATACTCCCACCTTAAATTTAAAAAAAAATCTGTTTTAGTATTATTATTCCATCTATGGCTAGTTCAGTCCCTTTCAGGATTTAACACAAAAATGTTGATACAGTTCTGATCCTATCAATCCATGCTGCATACCCTGCCTACCTTTTTGAAAATTATTGTTATTTAAATATGATTCCCATGAGAAATGCAGATTAAATTGAGTGAACATTAGATCCTGTGTGCTGATGAACCTTTAGCCTTTGTATCGGCAGGCAATTTCTTGACCAACATAGCTGTCAACGTCTCAAGGAAAGTACTTTACTGTGGAAGAAGTAAGTGGATGTTTTAAAAATGGACTGCAAGTACACATTTTAAAAGTTTCAATTCATTAATCTCCACTTTTATGGTCCTTTGAATTCATAAATCCAGCTTCATTTGGTGGCCACTGGATAAATATTTTGTTATTATGGTAGTATATTTAACTCTAGCATCTCTGCATCGGCTAAACCCAAATGACAAAATGACGAGTCACCCGAAAGAATAATAAATCATTCCTAATATTTTGGGGTCAGCCACCATATTGTTATTGTCATGAAATGTTCTATTTACTGTACTCACCAGCCGCCGTGTTATCCGCACTCTCTATTTTCCATGCGGAACTTGATCTGGCACAGTCGGGTGAAGATTCAGAGTGGCATGGTGCTATGGTAGCCATCTTGAAAACACTGTTGTGGATGGACCATTCCCCTCTTTGCCACTTCCTCCACACTTATAGCTCGTGAGACGTCTGACGACTACCGTAGTGAGGGAATGAAAGTATTACAATCTTGACCTGAAGTTGAAGCATTTTCATTGAATCATAATTTGTGTCATAGTGCTGTAAGCCCTATTGAAGTTTCTGTATTGTCTGCAGGGAGAGCAGTGGAGGCACGTGCTGGTCGCAGTTTGGACAGCGCGACTGTCGGTTATACCAACGAGGAAATATCACATCAAACCCGTCGTCAAATGTATATCAATGCAGCAAATTCGAGAATGAAGTGCACAGTACGCAGTGTTTGTCAGTGCGAGAGCCTGTCGCTTAATAGCAGTCGTGAGTCAATTGACACAATAGATAATGAACATTATTCTACAGACACCAGTTTCGTTGATCAGGTAGCGTTGAACACTTTGTGGATACAAGGCACATCTGCTTTATTCATTGTAATATTTCTCTGCTTATATGTGTCTCTGTCTTTTTCTGCTCTCTACTCATTTCATGCTATAAGTAAAAATTTTTCCAGCACCTTATCAGTCTATGGAATTGTAGGGCCCAGTGTGCGTAACACTTATAATGTCGGTAACAAATCGGGTAAAGGAAATGAAAAATCCAGTGTGAATTCAAAATTGCAACAAATTTAGCTACAGTAAATAAATGGAATGGATACATGACTGTTTGTTGTGTTTCACATACGTGGAAGAATGTATGTCTGTCTGTACGCGTAAAGTGACTCTGTTTATGTTGCACACATCTGCATAGAATTTGGCAGCACTGAAATGTTTTAACCAGTTACACTGTTAATTCTGTTTGAAGTCAATCAGGGAGACTTCAATGCGTGTATTTATATGAGGTAATTTCTGTTTCCGTCTAATTTTCACAATAAATTCAACTTCTGTAACTTCTAATATGACAGTTTTCAAATTCTTGAGACCAATTAATGTGGTGTTATGCTATATACTGTTAAGTAATATTTATAAAACTGCAAAGAAGAATTTATTTAATTGTACACATATCTAAATTTGTCGCCTTCGGAGGACTAGTGGTTAGTGTGCTCGCCACTGGACCCAAGGCTTTCGGGTTCAAACCCGGCCAAGGTTTTTAAGGGTGATAAAAATCAGTAGAACAATTTTCTTCGGAGGGGAAGTAAAGCCGGTGATCCCATTTTATAGATTTATGGCATGTAAAGCATGATACGAGATGTTTCGCAGGTAAAATTCAGTGGCCATTTCTCACCCAAGTCTCTCCTGATTCACTACTAGATGGCTCTGGCAGTTAAATCAGGATTGAGTAGAAATTGTGCAGTCACAAATGCACACTTCAAAGACTAGGAAACCTCTAAATAGGAGGCGGTGAAAACCCACAAATGGGTTGTAGACCCAAGGAAGAAGAAGAACATATCTATATTTAACTCATTTTCCATGATCCTACTTCCCTTGCATGAATTTAATATGTATATACTAAATGTCTTTAATTGCTAGTTGCAATGTTGCTGCCTGCCAGGGTGTTCTAAATTCAGTCATTTTTGGCTTTCTTCAGTTTAGCTTTGTATTTATAAAATTAATGTTTTTTTATTGTTCTTTACATGTATTTTATACATTTACAGCCCACAAATTATGGTATTGATGGCAGCAGTGTTGACAGACAAGAACGCAGACTCGAGCAGCTCCGTGCGGACAGCGGGTATCGAAGCATGGAGAATCCGCCAGCAACCAACTTGGGCACTCACCAGCAATCATTTGATACAACAGGGAGGCCACCACACCATATTCCCATTGATTATCATATTGAGATGCCAGTGTGTTACAACACGTCACGTGATTCACAGGGAAGTGCTGCGGATTTGAGCACAAAACGCAGAGATAGTTTTAAAAGTGTGAATAGATCAATGTCCGCAGGTTACAACACCGCTATGGTGCAGTATTGTCATGAGGTTGATGAGGGTGTGGCTGAACTTCAGTCACCTCTCGGACCTAATATAAGTTTTGGCTCGTGGGAGAGATGTCAAAGAAAGAACTATCATTCAGCTTCGAGAAGACGGCGTGAATTTGGCTTTGGCGGCGGTCGTCACGCTCTGGCACACGTGGCAGAATCCAAATATTCCCGCTCCCAAATTTTTCAGACTGTTGGTGCCGGTTACACCCGTGATTACAGTGTCGATCAGAAGTCTGACGCGTTATTTCGCGAGTTCAGTCGTTGCGATCCTGTGAAAACAAGAGCCAGTGGTGTACACCGACAACAGTTTATACACTCGCTCCCATATCCTGTTCGGGACCACATAAAAGAACTGTCACAGCCTCAAGACAGTGATGAGGGTCTATTGGCACTCGATATGACTAAGAAAGAAAGTGATGATCTATTAACGACATTAGACAGCGATCATTGTGAGGACAATTATGATAGTAGCGATAGTGATGAAGATGATGACAGCGACTGACTTGTAGATTATATAATTATGTTTGAGGGTACAGTTATTTCTACCCTCCATATCAGATACCAAATATTTTTTATTCTAGTTAACTGATGGATGAAGGAAGATAAGGGTGGAATGACTCCATTGTAGCAAATTAATTTCTACAATAATAAATCCTCATACATCTCCGCTCATCCATTACTGTTAAGCGCAAAGTGAAGGAGGATCTTTGAGGTAATATACAATACATATTAGAAATAGAGGGCTCTGCTGTTGTGTTAATATGGTTTACTGATCTGCTCAAAAGACTAAGAATAGCAGAAATACAGGATTATGAAAGAGTCTCTGGTTACGAGCCGCGTCAGGTGGCTGAACGGTGAATAAACCATATATTCTGTCAACGTTTCGAGAACAATGTCTGCTCTCATCCTCAGGGCTGCTGCGTAGCAAATCTGATATGGTTTATTCGGCATTCGGCCACCTGACGCGGCTTGTAACCCGAGTCTGTCATCAACTTCAGTCGCCACGAAAGCTTAACTTTATACAACAAATACAGAATGTTTCACACCTGGTTTGTGACACTTCAGAAGGTTATTTAATAGGTAAATTCATGAAAAAAATGTTATTACAATATTGTTTCTATTTCCAATAATTGCATAGCTCTGGTGATCTCAAAGTATTTGCGAGTATTAATCAAATCAGTTTATTGCTACGTATTATGATGTACATTCAAAATGTTCCCCACAGTTTTCAGTGCATAACATTGCTCATTCCAGACAACAGTTTACCGCGATCTGAATTTCAGGGTGTTCTCGTATGTAAGCAGCAACATTCATAATCTGATGTACTTCTTCTCTCGCGTGTACTTTGATCCTACAGGTCATCTCTTCGTCAGACCTCATAAAAAGAAATTGAGCAGTGTTATGCTGAGAGATTTTGTGGTCAAGATATTGAAACATGATAACCTATCCAATGACTTTGTAATGTTGATTAAGTAAACCATAACTTGATGATCAAAATGTGCTGAAGGAAGATTTTGCCACCTTGCCTTCAGGCACATTATCCATTAGATACTTTGACGACCCATTCTTCAGTGTGGGTCCCAACTTTTAGTTGGCTTGATCTATAGACATTTTGGTATGACTCCTTGGACGAGGGATCAGCCCATTGTGAGGCCTCTACCCGTACACAGGACAACACAACACAGAAAAACATCCATGGCATGAGTGGGATTCAAACCCATGGTCCCAGCGACCAAGCGGCACAAGGGCAATGCCTCAGACTGCGCGGCCACTGTGACCCCTATTCTCCATTAGAAACCAAATTTTATTTGTCAGGAAGTTTTGATAATTAGCAGATTATTCGAAATATTCACTGAAAGTCATACTAAAATGCTCGTCAGTAGTAGTATGAGGATTATGGGCGATTCTCACCATTGATCATAACCAAAATAATAGTAACAAAGCAACTGACAATTTGCAGTGATAACATCTTAAGCTGAAACCATCATCAGTGCTGCCATCTATCAAAGCACATTTGTTGTTTGCATATCTTAAAACATCCATAGCTCTGCAATAGTTGGAAAAAGAACCATTACTGTAAGACAACCTGTATTTTAGTTATGATTTGAAGCTTTTGCGGTGACGTAACTCAATAAAATATTCTCGGGCGATCAGATGCGTCAGCCGGTTAAAAGATGAAACTGAAGTTTCAGGGACCTGTCATCAGAACCCTGATGATCGGGACAGACAGTCCCTGAAACGTCGGTTTCTTCCTTTAACCAGTTGACGCGGCTGATCGCCCAAGAATGAAGAATGAAGAATGTTTCAGGGAATTGAATTATACTATCTTTCTGTTCAAGGTCATATGGTAACTCATATTCATCAGGATGCCAAATTCCAGAATGTGTCGAAACATGCTCAAACACTAATAACAAGAAAATAAAAAAGTAATGGAAACTTTTTTTTTCTTACTTAGATGTATGCCCTCAGATATTTCCTCGTCGTAAGCTTTAAAATAATCCGATACAAGATGTAAGACTGAATTCACTACCTGGGGCAAAGGACATAAAACGCTGTCCTGTAGATGGTAGGTTTGCTCTTAATAACTTCCGGTCTGTTGCGTCGTTTCTGTCAATGAATTGCCACTACAACTATTGCAATTAAGTTAACATTGCAAACAGTTTAGATTGTATTCTTGGCCTCAGGAAGTGTAGATATGTGTAGTATATGAAAATAAATATTTATGCACGTGAGTAAACAGAACAGCCCTTGATATGTCAAACTCCAGACCCCAGGAATTCCGCATCCGTCAAGATATAGGCATCTTATCTATTTTCCTAAGACAAATTTTATTATCTAGTAATGTAACTACTTCCTGTGTGCAACAGTGGTTTTAGAAGAGACGCATGTTAAAATTTAAACTCGCAATTATATTTTACTTCCAAATTTTAATGTTTAAGATAATCAGGAACATTAAGAATAATTTTATTGATGCGCTGTAGTAAATTTAATAACAACACTTGCGGACCAATCATATCAAAGATATGCCTTGACGTACGGCAGAGGATCCAAGATATAAGGCCCAAATCGAAGTGACGTAAAGTATTTGAAATAAATTCTTTTTCAAATACAAAATCCTGCATCGAAGTCACGGGGCAGGATAGTAGGTAAGTTAGAGAGTAGCATTTTTGCATTTGGAATTTTTAAATAAAATTTATTGCATATAATATAACAATATTCACACTTCTTCATCAACTTACCACTGCAAGAACCTCGGATATCATAAATATTTACTTCGTACAATGATTCAGTAATTAGAGGAAATATTTATATGAGTTAAGAGTTTTGGATGTTATTACGATACTGTGTTTTAAATAAAATTGTTTATAATTTAAAGTAATATGTTTGCGTGTTTGTAGATGGGACGTATACTGAATTATTTAAGTAATGTGTACTTAAGACAAAAGTGTGTGGATGAAGACAGATGGCAGTCACGCGTTCCTTGGTGTTCTTCGTACACACAAGTACATGATCAGTTCTACTGCGCTGATAAGGCTTGCACCGAGGAAGAGGCCCACTGCACCTCCAATAGAGACTGAAATTTGGAGTATTTATTTGTCAGTTCATTTTGAGAAGGCAAAGGCGAAATTAAACTCCCAGAATAAAACTGATTTTTTTTTCCAAATGCAGGAAAGTAATGTAAATAATAATAATTATGAAATAATAAACAAAAGCCAAATATATCAAGCTGAATATCTTACAATTATTTAAAAATTATGACGGAAATTTTATAAAATATAATTTATTTTGTATGAAGAGTTGTCACGTATTGTCTGTAAGAAACAGTGATGAGCTTTTGTGATATCTGTAACGAACCTACAAGTTCCATAAAAGGTGGACTATTGGGTGTACCTTTAAAAATTGTAATGGATTTTATCTTGGAAATCCATGTAGAATTTTTCAAATCACATGATTCATAATTATATACAAATCTGTTATGAAAGGAATTTTGGTACATTTTTTATTTTATTTTATTTTTACATTTATAAGTGGATAGTTCAGAAGCCAATGGTGTTAGGTCACGATTTGGTATACAGAATTTCGGTGATTCCAATCTTCTGTCATGATAACTCCATTTTTGTTTTCAACAGACAATCGTGCCACTAAACTTACTAGATTTAAAATAAATTGAACCCTTAGCATCTGTACTTATATTATTAATAAGCATTTTATTATTTTGTTACATTTTTCATGATATAGTTTGTGATTTTTTACTAAATATTATGTAAAAAAATTATTATATACAGTTCGTTCACTGAAAAAGTTAGACGCAATTTTCACCCCCCCCCCCCCCCCCCCCAGCCCAAACACTAGATTGCCTGTCTTACATGCCCCTAACATCAATTTTCGCCAAAATTATTCTCATAACACCGCAATTGTCTCTAATACCGTGTCAGGAATTTCATTATGTGTGGATATGGTACGAGTGATTTTCTGTGTTAATCGTACGTGAAATGTGATTCAGCTAAGTGTCGGAGAAAATTTAGCAGTAAATTTCCAAGAATCTTAGTTACAAGCAGAACAGGCACCCGTGAACTTATTAAAAAAGACAGATCTACTGGGTTACTTCTGGACAAGAACCCCGCTAAAAAGCACAGAGTGCTTACCGGAAGAAAACTAGACAACAGGGGCTAGGTTATAATAAAACATTACAGAAATTAGTCAAGATATCAGCAGCTGCTTCTGCTGTAAAATGGGACTGTCAATAGCGCATGCGTTGTAAACACGTGACTCGGCTAGCAGGATTAATTTCTGCAACTTGTTTTTACAGTCAGTTCATGACCGTGTAGTTGACTCATTTTACTTTATTTTTCTGGCGAAGGTTGGTTGCATTTGCACGAACAAATTTCATCCCGCAATAATCGGTTCTGGAGTTAAATCTACGAAGGTCCTCTTCATGACGTAATTTCAGCCTGTTTAGATGTTACAGAGAGTGTGAGCTTGTACAGGGACAACGTTTGCAGCACAGCTTATAATATAGGTAAGGTAATTTTATTTTCTTTGTGGAGTGATACTAGAATCGTACGGGGAAATTCGCATTGCGCAGGGCGGTGAGTTTCGTTTTATTTTGTGAGTGATGGCGTTGTAGTAAGCGAAGTGTAAACATGACGGGACAGGAAACGTTCTTAACCTTGACAGAAAAATGTATAGAATAGAAAGTGTAACTAGCCTTAAAAGTAAAATAATAGCAAAGACTAATCGAAAGTGTGATTAAAGTTAAAAGAAGAAATAACGGGACTGGAAAAGTAAGTAACCTTAAATATGAATATAAAATGAAGAGTAATGTAATAATTTTGAAGGTTAATGTACGAATATTACGTCTTACTGTATAAAAGCAAGATTACTTGGAAGTATATTTTATGCTGTTATTTTTAATCACTGTTAGTGATGAGAGTTGAAGTAAGAGTAAAATAATATAAAGAGTATTATACACTTTTACATAAAATGTTATAATATACAAAAGTATATATTTATGTTATCTTTTGGGTGTGGATGTGAAACATGGGTCCCTCACCCTAAATACAGAACACAGTTTAAGTTTTTGAAAACAGGAACTTTCTGGAGATAAATGCTTACGTGCTTAATACTTTTTACTTTTCACCAACTATTAGGTTTATAGAATCAAGAATGATTAGATGGGCTGGGCATGTGGCATGCATAGAAAAGATGAGAAATTTGTATAACATTTCAATCACAAAATATGGTTTGGAATCAATAAGATTTGGAATAGGAATTAGTGATAATGAACTTCACAATTAATCTGCTTTATGGAGTTAGTACTAGATTAGGTATATGTTACAGGGAGAAGTTTTGTTAATTGAAACCAGCAAGTATGGTCAAAATAGGGGCAAAAATGTTAGTCTTATCAGTAGCAAAATAAAATAAAGTTACGTGAGCGATGTTTACCCACTAAGTCCAGTTTGCTTCGTACAACATTTCTCCTGTATCGGACAGATGGCAGTGACAGCATCTGCAGTGTGTAGTGGCTCCATGCGTTGTTATTCCTGCGCATTTTATGAGTATATTACGTAATTTATGAAGTATCGTATTATTTTGAATGGGATTTTTTATATAGTAACTGAAAACTTTGCATATAAATTTTTCTATTATAATAATAGAGTAATGCTTATCATGACATACTAACGTGTATTCATGGGGGTTATGTTTTTAATCCTATAGTTAGGCACTGTTTATGAAGAATTTAGTTAGAGAACTGTTTTAGTAATTCAGAGCTGAGAACATACATGATGGCGGCCATCATAATGTCCTCTCGTCAGCAATTGAGGAATTAAATGTTCTTTAATATAACAGCAGTGGAAGCAGTGATTTGTAGAGAAGAAAACGTTTACAGTAACTGTAATGATAAAAGGAATGAAGAAATTGAAATAAACAGAAGAATGACAATAATATATTAAAGAAGAAGAAAAATAATAGCAAAGAGAAGGTTAGAAGAAACTAGGGGAATGAAGGGAAGATAATAGCAAAGCAAAAACTAGAATAAAGAAAAATGTAAAATAAATTTGAACAAAAAAAAATTGAAGATGAAGGAGAAAATATATGACGTTATTAAACCTTTGTTTTGACTTTGATTCTGTAAAGAATTTCTGGATAGCTTTTCTGGAATAGTAACAGTTTAATGTTACGTTTAAACAAAAGTGCTGTTGATCACAGTTTAAACTAGTAACATAAATTTATGTGCTGAGTAACATTCCAACATGATTAATTAATTTACTACTTGCAAATAAGGCACATTCTATTAAACTGGTCAAAATAAAATATAGTTTCCATTGGTGCAAGGAATGCGTAAATTAAAAAAAAATATTTTGGTTTTACTAATAAGTTACTCTTTGTGTTAAACAAACCATTACTATAAAATAAGCAAACAAACAGATTATTAACACTATAAAAAAGACACTAGTACCATACGCGTTTCAACCTCAAGAGGTCATCATCACGGTATGCAGAGTTTTAAGACCATTACTTATCAACCAGTCCATGAACAGACAGTCAACCCGAGCAGACGTGATACACCACACAACACGACTTATGAATAATCAAAACAAACATAAGATGCGAAAAACGGGAGGATCAACGGAACACATGTTACAATAATAAATATATCGAAAAGCATGCATTATAATATAAAATAGTTTTAAAAAACAACACCTGAAGATGATGTATTACATCGAAACATGTTGTGAAATGAATGAAAGCGCTCTAATGTAACATCCTTATAGTGATGAATGGCGCAAATTTTAAATTTTAACATTTAAATTTTAACATCCAAATATAGTTTTGTGTATTGACCTGAATTTTATTATATATTTTAATCAAAAACACAAACATGACGCATGTAAACCTTAATGCTAACATACTGGGAGAGTTTAGGTAATAAATGGCTTAAAACTAAAAATAAATTGGAACGAAATGGATTTGTACCTTAAGAATGGAAGAGATTTAGAAACTTGTTTAAAGAGGGCAACACAAGTTCGATCAGTTGTGGTCTTCTGTCGTGAAACTGTGTAGTGTTGTAGATTATTAGAAACGTCTTGAAGGAATATACCACTTTCATCATCAAGGCAGAAATTAATTTTACCATACAATATCAATTGGCTCACTTCTACTATGAAGATGGTGGCGATATGTTCCTCCAAATTGTTGGTATGATATGAATTCATAACTCTGAAGTCTACAATCAAAATCATCACTGACATGAGAATATCATATTTTAGACAAATTCTGTCAGTTTTTTCAACTACAGTATTATTTAAATTCTTGCCATTTTATGTTGGAAATTGACAAAATTTCGACAGTTCGTTGTACACTCAAAAAATATGTTTTCTGGATTGTTAAGTCATGTAGTCTTGAATAGATATTGACGACGTTTCAGAGTAATTTAACGCCTCCATTATCCGGGCGATAAAAAAGGTCATTCTGAAACCACATTCATTATCAACCAGATTACACGGCGTAGCATTCAAGGAAACATCAATGTTTTTCTCGTCGCCGTGAAAAACCTGATATATAACGTGTTACAAACGTTTTTCCAACATTGATTGTCTTACTGAATGTGGTTTAGTTATGATTTATAGAGTATTACTTAAAATATCACAGGTTCGCTTACAACCGTGCCACTGTTTATAAAATAAAAGTAATAACTTATTAGTAATATGACAGTCATTTACTTGCACACGAGACGAAAGCAGGCTTAAATGTCCGTGAACAAATTCCGATAGAACGCCATAGTATGTTAACCTCAAATGTTGGCGTTAAAACGGGGCTAACAATTTTTTTTTAAAATTTCGATGTTCTTTTATTTATTAATGTATTAAAGTGTTATGTGGTGTGGAAAATACTGTAGTTAGCATCTTACAGATAAAAAGAAAGGTAAGCTTTTTCTTAAGTTTTTTATGGATGAAGGAGGATTAGAGTAAGATAAATTACAATTATCAGAGCAGAACTGGGTCTCGAACACCAGTAGTGGACTCTACAGTGAATTTCCACAACCAATTGTTTAGGAGAACCTGCTGTTTTATTCAACTTAAATATTATACCAAATCCTAGCCACGCTCATTGTGTTCACTGGAGCCTAACATGTTTTTTAGTATTTAAGTAAAATTTTATAAGAGCATTGAACAAATTAACTCACAGTTCCACAGGGACGGTTGTTATGAACGTGTACTCCGGTTCTGAACAGCTCGGAGTGATACAGTTGCAAGTTACATTCAACTCGGGCAATCCAGTAGCTGTTATTTCGTACAGTGCTTCTGCGAAACAGAGAGAAAATCAAGGATAATCAGTCTTATAAAAGACGGAGACTTCTATATTTTACACGATTGAATTTCTATGGCCATGACCGTGGACTAAAACGAGAATTAACCTATCGACTTCTGTATCGATTAACTTCACTTTTAACTTTTTAGGTTATGTAGTGTTGCTGTGAACGTAAATGATGAATTGGATACGGACAGAATTGGATTGGATATATAACTGGATTGTAAACAGACTGTCGTGGTCTATTTTAAAGTATAATTTTCGAAAAGAAAACATATCGTGTCTAGATGATGCAAAAGTGTCAGTCATTACATGACATTAACTTAACAGCAGTCATATCGACTTCTGGATCGATTAACTTCGCTTTTAACTTTGTAGGTTATGTAGTATTGCTGTAAACGTAAATGATGAATTGGATACGGACAGAATTGGATTGGATATATAACTGGATTGTAAACAGACTGTCGTGGTCTATTTTAAAGTATAATTTTCGAAAAGAAAACATATCGTGTCTAGATGATGCAAAAGTGTCAGTCATTACATGACATTAACTTAACAGCAGTCATATCGACTTCTGGATCGATTAACTTCGCTTTTAACTTTGTAGGTTATGTAGTATTGCTGTAAACGTAAATGATGAATTGGATACGGACAGAATTGGATTGGATATATAACTGGATTGTAAACAGACTGTCGTGGTCTATTTTAAAGTATAATTTTCGAAAAGAAAACATATCGTGTCTAGACGATACAAAAGTGCCAGTCATTATATGATAATAATTTAACAGTAGTCGTACTTAAACAGCTGTAGGCTAGTGACTTCAATTTTGTTTTATTGTTACAGTAAATGTAATGTAAACAATTAAAATGAAACAAGGTCGCAAAACCCAAGGGAGTTACATCACTCACTTTTTCTATTATTTATCGCTGTATTACGCATGTAATTAGGGTTGTAAATATCAAAATGGCATGAAACATGAAACCGTGTACAGTTGTCTCGCTAGAAAACGGGGAAACAGTGCTTTTGCATTACTCTTTGTCAGGGTATCTTAACCGAAGCGCCAATATTGTGTATTTTGGTTGGCCGCCTACATCTTTTTACTGATATATTATCTTATATGATGAAAATAATTTACTGATATCAGAAAACCCCTTCTTTTAATGTCTTCAGTATTTGATCTAACTACCCCTCTAAGCAACTGTGTAACTAAATGAATAATATATATTAAATGAATGCGATGTACCTGAATATCTATGAATGCACAAAATTCCTTCGAGGTCGCATGTTCTTCCTGGACCTACAGATGATAAGAATACTGCGTTAACATAGGGTAATAAATACGCTATTTATTGAAGGTTCTGGAGTAAGTTGGTTACAAAATATACCTTTTACTTGCGTATATTGATGAACGCAACCACATAATTTCAGCTGAGCCATCGCCTGACACTCCGTGATACAAGCCGACGAGCTATAAAATTTGTACGTGGTCAGCGGATTCTCGAAAGGCAGCAAGCAACCCCTCTGGGACACCCCTAGACCTGCGAGGCTGACGTCATTAGCTATTTCCATTATCTGAAACAGAAACGGTTTCAGGAAAGCGTGGTTAGGACACGACCAGTTCTTCTGTTACGAGCTCTGACATTATAATTAACCTTTCTTCTAATCCGCATTTCCACGCGTTTTTGGAAACTCTTTGTTTCTCGCTGAAAATGTCTTGCTAAGAAAGTAATTCTATCATATCAATATACACACATATTCATACGCACAGATCTAATACATACATAAATACATACAGAGAACAGTAAATCAAACAAAAATTCTATCTGTTTAGGAGCCGGGGTAGCTCAGTGACTGGCTACGAGCTGTACGACCGGGGTTCGATCCCCGACGGGAGCAGAGGATTCTTCCTCTAGTCTCTGTGTCCAGACCGGCTCTGGGGCCCAACCATCCTCCTATCCAATGGGTACCAGAATTCTTTCCCAGGGGTAAAGCACGACCGGGGCGTGACGCTGACCACTCATCCCATCTAGTGCCGAAGTTAAGAATGAGTAGGAGCTATACAGTCTCTCCTCCCAAGCGCCTACATGGCGTGTAGCGGGACAGCTTCTTCACCATATTTTCTTCTTATGGAGAAATAAGGAGAGAAAAGATTGATTATTTTGTTTTAAGTCTTGTTCTTAAAGCCTTTGACTTAGATTGAGTATATTTTGCGTTTTCACGTGTCACTACGATACGCATTTGATGCTGTTTAAAATAAGAATTCATTTCCATTGTTAAACGTGTACATACATATGCCGCCATATTGTTTCTGAATAGTTCATAAATTACAGTTCTTGTATATTGAGTGGTGAAGGAATTTCAGGATTTATCTCTGTTCTTTGTGTGTGTCATCAGCTGTTATTATAATTTACTTACACGAAAATATATAGTGTAGGAGTTTCCCCGATCTTTGCTTTCCAAATCAGGTTCTACCTGGTGTCCAAAATGAAAGGCGTCTTCTGGTGAGTGGACGTGCAACTAAGAACAAAGATTGTGTTGACCTTAGTTTGTAACTTCGAGAAATCTGAGCAATCGCAAATCGAGTGTGAAGGTGAAATTTAATTTTGCAATGTTTATCAGCTACGTAATTACATTTTTATGTATGCGGTGTTGCAATGGAATCGGGAATTTAACAGTGGGTTCTACAAAACAAAAGATGGACGTGTTTGCTATTAGTTCTAAAATTGTATAAACCAGCATAATTTTTACGAGACTAAAGGTTAAGTTATATAAAAACAATAACTTATAGTTATTTTGTATGGATATGAGACGTGGCCTCTCGATTCGAGAAAAAATTTAAATTCGAAACATCTGACAATCGTGCTCGGGAAACTTGAAGAAATTTAGCAATTAAATGAACTGTTGATGATGATTATATTTTAATAAGGAACTTCGTGATTTTTAAGGTCATATAGTGTTTTTAAAATAGCAAGGATGTGACGCGATAAATGTGCTGCTACAATCATGAAACTTTTAGAAGCAATTTTAAAGGAAACATTTCAGCATCTCTTTAAAATATTTATAAATAGAAAAATTACTTGGGAGTGCGTTAATGTACTTTTAATCGACACGATTAATTTTAATTTAAACAAAATCGAAAAATATTATTACCATTAGTCTACACCGTTTCTAAAGTTCTTACCTCAGAGTCTTCAAAAGTATTAAATTCTAGTCTTCCAGGACCGGTGAGTTTGTTCGATATCAAATCTACTGTTTTGTGATAAGCGACATTTTTCTTCCTGGAACAAGACATTTTACGTATTAAATTATATTCGATATAAATGAATAATATATTATTTATTGTCATTTTAATCGAAATGACTTAATTTATTTGAACTCTTATTACAATGTTATTCGGTAGCAAGTTGCCTTTCTGTGTTTTTATTGTGTTATTGTTTTTCTATTTTACGTTATATCTGTAATTGGTCTTCTGGTTATTAATGCAGCACACTGATAAAGAATTTAATTGAAAGTAAAATAGTTGCTTGAAGGAGGTTATAAAGAACAGGAAAATTTTCCTACTTATCCGTTTGCAAAGAAGCTTTTTCTTATTATGTATGTGTACTGTCAATCTAAACTGAATTTGCAAATCGTTGTATATTTTATATTATAATTTATTACCAATCGATTTTTCGGCCTTTTAATCATCATCCCCTCATTTAATCATAATTTACTATTGAGCAGTTACGTAACGCAAATGAAAATGTTAATAATTTAATGTCACGAGTTTGACGAAACATGTAGCTCTAAACCTTATAATAAAAGTATTAAATCAGTATGGGATTTGAGATCTTCAAGAATGTGAAAATGTGGTTTGTGGTCGTCTGGGCTGTGACGTCGAGTGGTCTTGTGATTAGGAATGTTTTGAAGGAGCGTATCTCATTCGTCTTGTGGTTAGAGGTCAATGCTTTTCTCATTACAGTGTCTGCCCCATATCCGGTTTGTTGGAAGAGATTCTATTTTTTATTTCCTTACATATCTGTGGCTCATTTGTAAAGGGTAATGCCACGTATTTTATAAACATATTCTTTTTTTTTAAATTTTAAATTTCGGGTACCGTATCTTTTGGGTATTTTGTGTTATGGATATATTCGTCCCTTATACTTTGTACCGATTGTAAAATTATTGGACCATCTCTGCGTAAAATTATGTTATGAATATCCCATAATATAAGGGACCCTTAATATTACATTTAAAACATAAGCATTTTATTAACCTCATATACAGATAATTCAGTCGTCTTGTTATTTTAACCATCGTATATTTTGTATTGGGCAGTGTTTAATAGTAAATAGAAATTTAAATTTTTGTCTTTGGAAACTCTCAATGTTCATGTATTCGCACAATTACTTACGTTGTTTGTAGTGAGTTAATGGTATAACAAATTCCATAAGGTGTAAGTTCGGGATAGAAATTTTCGCAACAGTCGAACTGGACGCTATTCCAGTAACAATTTCCTAGCAAAGACGAGCAGTTCGTGAAAACCTGCATCAAAGATAGAGAAAGTTACATTCTAAATAGTAACTTCATATCCTGCAGGGAAATTGTGAACAGAATTTTGCATCTGAAAGAGGAGAATTTGGACGGAATTTCACAGTAAGAAGGTCCATAATTTGTACTCTTTACCAAATATCGTGAGGATTAAAGGATTAAGGACGGTAAAATAAGAGGGATGTTTATCATGGATGAGATAAGAAATGCATAAATTTTTAGTCGGAAACCCCATAGGAGGCTTATGCGGAAATGGTAAGATAAATTACTCTTTAATTAATGTTAAATAAATCTGATTTTGGGAGTTGAATGAATGCGTTGTGGATTGATAGATTTAATACAAACATTAACAAACTTCTATACCGTCCTCCCATCTCAAACGAAGATACAGCAGGATTTATTATATGAATCATAATATTATTCATCTTATAATTAAATGAACATCATAACTCTGATCTTTCTGCAAGGTAATGAAACTTCACGATGTTTTCTGGTTCAGTCGCCGTGATTATTTTCATATTCAATTTACTTTAAAAATACATTTTATAAATTTTGTACTTTTGAGGAGATTTATAAAAATAATGTTGCAATAAACTGTATTACTCTTCAATACAAAAAGGGTTTATTCCTCTCAACTTCGGTAGGACACGTTACGCTGTTTATATTAATTTTAAATGAATTTATGATGACACATTAGTTGAGACTAAATTAATTATTAAGTCCAACGGGTTACGTTCGCTTGCTTTTCATGACTGTGTGGTGTTGTATATTTTTTGTTTTGAGACATCCTGTCGTTATGAATGAGGATTAGCGCCTTCATTTATCAAAAATATTTCTTTTTTATATCTTAATTGCGTCATGTTTGTGTTTTATTGATACAATATTTTATTTTCCGTCTATACACAAACTTAAAATAATGTTGTTTAAAATTACTTAAAATTATAACATTCTCAGTAGATACTGCATCTTGTTACATTTTTTGTATTCGACGACATGTTTCGATGTGTATTACATCATCATCAGGTCTATCAATTTTAATATATTTTAAAAACTGCGTCTACCGTCTCTTAATATCGGACACACAACACATCAATTACAACCCGATATAAAACATCCAAGTA